GTAAGTAGTTAGTTTAGTTACGTACTACTACTACGTAGTTAGTTAAGTAAGTAAGTACGTTCGTTTCGTTTCGGTTAGGTAGGTACGTCTCTCTCCTCTCTCTCTCTCTCTCTCTCGGTCGTCGCGCTCACGCGTCTCCTCCTCTCTCTCTCTCTCTCTCTCTCTCTCTCTCTCGGAGCTCGGCCTCACGGCCTTCTCCCTCACTCTCCTCTTTTTTGGGTTCGGCCTCACAGCCTTCTCTCTCTCTCATACATTGAGCTGCAGCCCTTACACCTTAGCCACGCAACCAAGAGGTTGACTATGTTAATCAATATCTGCAAAGACATCAAAAATAATGCTAAGGACCATATGGGCTCCAGTCATTAAGAAAAGATGCAAATGACCCCATACGATCCAGTCATTTCGATGAGAGAGAAAGATGCCCCCAACTAGAAACTGTCTAGAGAGAGAGGGGGGGAGCAACTAGACCACGACTAGCTGTCTTCAGCAAAAGTTCAAGAACGAATATTTCTTGAATATTTCTCTTCCCACCCATTAACTTACAGTAGTTTCCTCAGCGTCTCACCACACTTTTCAAGGAGTTCTCCTTGAAGCTTGACTACTCGCAATTTCTTGAGTCACCATGTCCAAAAATCTGTTTTGAGTTTTCAAGCCAACTAGAAAACAGCCGACCCCAATTAATTAGGAAAAGGTTATGATGATGATGAAGCTAGCTAGAAAACCGAAAGGACCAGGAATCAGGTCATGAACCATTGAAGCTCATGGAACAAGCAAGCACAATTTCCCTCTCTACGTGTAAAATCTAAGCCACAAAGTATGACAAATTATGTAATATGGAAGATCAGATCTCATACAATGATATATACACACAAAAGGAAATGGAAGAGGTTAAATAGAACTCAACCAATTACCGAGCTGGTTGGCTAGCTTTCCATCATCAGACTTCATAAAACCATTTGCAAACCTCTTAAGACCCCTTCCTTTCATGGATGTGTCAAAGTCTTTGCCGCAAATTCAAAACCATCTCTGCATAAGCTGCACAAGAAAATGACATCGCACAAATCATAATGAAGGAAAAAGATAAGTATCACAAAATTTAGGCCTACAACAATAGATGAACAAACAAATGAGGGATGTCAACAAGCCAAGTGAGCTGAACTTTGACTGAAGCTTGGCTTGCATCGGTGGAGGGCTAGCTTGAACGTAGGTTCAGCAGCTTCAGCTTGACTCAAGCTTGAACCACCCAGCTTTGAGCTTCACTTGATTAAGTTCAAGTTATGCTTGAGATAGGCTTAAGCTTAATTCATTTAAAACAAGCATAAACGAGACGAGTCAAGCCACCATAAATGAGACAAGTCAACCACAAGCTATACTTTTAAGTATGTCTCACATTTATATATAAAGTATTATGTTTTTTTTTTTTTGAGAAAGTTAACGATTATATAAAGTATTATGTTAATAAATTGATTATTAACTATATTGATATATTAAACAAGCTGCAGTTGAGCTCATGTCAGAATAGTTATGATTACAAAAACGAATTCAGTCTCAACTTGGCCTGTTGAACTGTAAAATCTTGGTCAAGCTCGGTCCATTACAAGCCAAGCCAAGTGGCTACTTGGCTTGTGGCCAGCCCTAAAACAAAGTATAAACATGTAAATGGTTCCACTAGCAAAGTGTATATTTTGCACCAAGTAAATCATCTAACTAAGAGAATTTTACGATCTGAAGTTCTTCAAATCATCTTCGGAAAATAAATTTCGATTTGAGCTCCTAAAAATCCCAGATGTGATTGTTCATCAATGGAAGCTCCAGAGTCAATCTTAGAATAGGAATTCATTTGGCGCATTCTCTAGCTTGAAATCAACTTGTTTTCTAAACAAAATGTTCTTCGAAATGAATAAAGATGATTTCTCAGTTGCAGGGTCAAATAAACCCCCCTAACATTATGTTTTTTCCATGGGACCAAACGTCTAATTTGGTCCACCAGGTCCACCAAATCTCTTTCCAACAAATAAAAAAAAAAATATTAAATAATAAAAGAGCGTAGTCCTAACCCAATGTACTGTGGAGAACAATACTCTATCGTGATCGTCACCATCCAATGCAACATGGGAGAGAGACAGGGAGTTAAAGCTGGGGTCATGCCCTGTTATGGTGGGGTCCTCTCTCCATTGCCAACCATCATTTCGTTTCACTGGATGGTTATGAACCCAAAAGACCATGGTTTTTCCCATGTCCCACCAAAATATAGAGCAATTTACTCGTCTATCCTCCCAAAATTCAGTTATTCAAGAAATTCCCAAATTTTTATGTTATTACATTTACACTCAACTTTTTTGGTTTTTTTTTTCCTTTAAATGATGACATGGCCCCTACTTCGGATCTTTAAGATTTTAAGTCTTAACATTTGTAATACAGCACTTAGACCTCTTCTTAAGTGGTTATAGGCTTAAAAATACTTCGGATCTTGAAAATCCAAAGTTGTCTAAACTTCGGATTGTAAAAATCCGAAGTTTCCTCTGCATCTTGCTAAGGCCAAAGAGAACTTCAGCTTTTGAAAATCTAAAGTCCTCTCAACTTCGGAATCTAAAAATCCGAAGTTATCTATGCATCTAGCAAGCTGGAGGCCAAAGAGAACTACCAGCTAGAAATGTGGATTTGACAATCCAAAGTAAGGGCAGTTTTAGACGAAAAACAAAAAAGTAAAAATGGATATGATAATAATATTCAATTTTTGAGAGGGGGGGGGGTGTTTAATAAAGGTAATGCATAAGGATATTTTCATAATTTCTCTAAAATATAATGCATTCATTCTTCTTATCTTTTCTAACTGATGGTTACAGTATAGTTTCCCATAATAGAAAAAACCAGTACCTTGAGGCAAGTTCATGGTTAATAGAGCTTGCTCTGCAAGTGGAAGATGACAAGGCATTGGTTGAAATGAAGTTAGTGAGTTTCTTCTTCTGTCTATAATTTCTCCGCCTTGCTTTGAGGGGAACACAGGCCATGCCATAACTTTACTTTGGGATGGTAACACAGAAACAATATCCCCATATTTTAGACTGACAGTCACCTTGCTGCACCACAAAAGAGATAATTATGCATATCACAAGTGACTATAGCTAGCAACAATAGCCAAGAAAGAATATCTAACCAGCAAAACAACTTGTGTAAGGCACGAAACACCATAGTCAATCTCTTAGAAAAACTTGACAGTTGGAAATGATAGGTAACGGGTAGATTGCAACTAGGAAAACACATAGCCGAACCATAGAACCCTATTTTTTGAGATCTTTAAATATTTTATATGAGAAGAAATTTGTTGGCATCAAACACTAGGATAGATTGAAAAGGGCAAAAGCATGAGAAGTTCTCGTGTAACTGCAAATGCTAGGAGAAGATATTGCGGCACCTACTAAATGTTAAAATTGACAGTAGTAAAAAACAGGACAACATTGTGAAATTGAATTAGGCAAAACAGTTACAAGTTGAATGTGATCGTTTCCCTAGTTTGCCAAATTACCAAGCAGTTGGACAGGGCGGTTGCAATGAATGGAAACCTATCACAGGGCCAAGGCTGGCTCTAAATGGTAAGCTCATGGACCATGAACTTTTTTATTCTTGAACTTTTTTATTCTTGATCTTTGACAAAGCTGATTTCTTTGACAAAGAAGAGATGGAGCATCCATAAGAGTACGATTGCCTTTTTTATCTACTAATATGCAGTAAATATTACGAGTCTTTATGCAACTTCGAAGACATGGCATACTAAAAAGTTCTATAAATTGCAAGATTAGACCCAAAACCACTTGACAAATGCTAGAAGAAAATCAACAAAAAGAGAATGGGCTCCAGGCTGAGATGTTCAGGGTGGCAGGTGCACAAACATGATGTTTAGAGACGTAGCCAAAATGGCCGAAATTATACATGACAGTTAAGAGAAGATGAGAAAACTACCATTCAAACTCTTCCAAAACAAACTCAACCAAATTGTATGAGAGGCTATGATACAGCTCCCCAATCTGATGCCCATATAACTCTTTAAGAAGCTGTACCTGCAAGTCAACAACTTATATAGCTCATGAAGTATACTGATCAAAATCTTCATAGATGACTATGATGTTAATATTAGTAGTTCTGATTGATGTAAGACACAGACCGTCGTGGTGAAGCAATTAGCAATTTTAAGAAGAAGGTAATGCAAAGAGGAACATGTCATAGAAAAGGAAACTAGCGTAGTATTCCGAGAATATATCAATTTTCAGGCTCATAAGAAACAGTCTCCCAAGGCTATCCTTTCACATTTATGTGGAATGTATATCATGATCTTCCGTAAACATCTTAATGATGCTTGACAGATAAAATGATTACATTCCACTCTTCCTCCAGCAATATAACTCTTAAATATCTGCTAGCTCAAAGAATCAAACTAACAATTACTAGAACAATGGTAGGTGTTAATAAATTAAACCTCAACCAGATTCTACTAGAAGATGGCAGCAAAGATTCCAAGTCTGATTATGGTTACTAATGAAATTACAGAGAATAAATTAGCAAGAAAAAATGCTTGGTCACAGGCTTAAAAAAATCATAAAATCTATTATCAGCAATTAGCAGCAACTGTACATTTTAAGACTATGCTCGAAAAGAGTACAAATAAACAGAGTCAATAAAGAAGAACGAGGATCTTAGGGAAACAAATATACAGAAGCTGTCTAGGAATACCTGTTCTCGTCTATCCACATATGCCTGTAAAATTTCTCCAACATAGTCTATGAATCTCTGCAGACATGCCATTTTATAGTAGATGAACAGATCATAAACGTCAAACACAAGAAAAGACGACTAAAAAAAGGAAGCATAAACTAACCTTTGCATTTGAGGACAGAAGATCATTTTCTGCTTCACGTATAGGCAAAAAGAAAGGAACAGTGTGTTCTCTAACACTCATCTTCTCGAGAAATGATCTACTTCCAAGCACACAATAATAAAGTTCACAAGGATCACCTGGAAAAGCCACCAGCATACTTCATGCACAGCTCCAAGACAACCTTTTTAATGCACACATCAAAAACAAAATGCAACATATGCCATTGTCACTGACAAACCTTTTAGAATACGAAAGAAAACTGGTTGGAGACCAATCAGTCTTCTCTCACAAATATGAATCAAGGCTGATCATTATAAGTGAGAATCAAGAGGTGACAGATCAAGACTAATACTTAAGTCGAAGAAATAATGGTTTGAAATTCAAAGGTACAATTGTTCAATAGAGAAATGCCGTATCATGAAAACTGGGTTATATTAACAGCAAGATGAAGAAAACAAAAGAAAAGGATAAATATTAGATGAAGAACAATACAGTTGAAGGTTTCTTTTTTCAATAAGTAATACAGATGAATTTACAGGCTAAAGAGGTCAAGAATTCATAATTTTTTCCGCTTTCTTTAATATCTGACATGGTAGAGTAACACATTCAATTGCATTGAAAACATGTAGATGTGCAGTCAACAACTAGTGAAACTAGGTCAAAACTTTTAGCATTGTCAAAATAACTATTAAATAGAAAGATTAAAAAAGGTGAGATAAGATCAACATGTGCCGAAGAATAAGTGGAAGAAGAATAAGTGGAAGAGAAAAACAACAGCTCCAGAATCAGATATGCTTACTGCAAAATTACCAGCAAAAGATGTTTCATATTGTATACCAATTCTTGCCCCATCCAAACAGCAAATTACCTGCACAAGCGAAATGCAAGTTACAAACTGAAAGTCTATGAAATCAGGGCTCATGCGACCAAACTTTGAAAGTCAATATTCTCATAAATGTACTGAAAAAGCACCATGGCAACAAAGCGATGGGAAGCTTCTGGGCACCTATGTTACCCAGGCAATCACTTGGGAGTTCAATTAGACCGGAAAATGAAAATTATATAAAATGAAAAAAATGTTATTCTATAATTTTATTCCGCATGCAGTAGATGTATAGTCTGGTTTGGAGTTGGAATATGATGTTACGAGCATTATGCAACTCAAGTGTTACAGTGTTAGTTGACATTGCGAGTGAAATCAAAGATCCAAAAGTTTTGAGACACAAGATAACCTCTACGCTTCCCAAATATATCCTTATGTTTTCTTTGAATGACTGGAAAGGGATTTTTAGTAAGCCCTACAAACAAGATGCAAGAAGGATAAGATAAGAGGAGGAGAGAAAAAAGCCAAAAAACCAAGAGACAAAAAGGCAGCTATAGATCCATCATCCTGGTAGTAGTCAAGAGGCACTCCCTGTTTGGCTAGCTTGTCAACCATTTGGTTGGCCTCCCTCCAGATATGCGTCAATGAGATTGGAATACACCTACAGAAGTCGTGAATCTCGTCAAATAAAGCCCATAGTCTCCACAAAGGTGTGGAAGAACCAGATGCCCACAATATGGCATTTTGCGAGTCCCCTTCAACTAGAGGGGGATGACCCCATGTAGGATGAAGCATTTGAAACGTTCAAGACGGGCTCTAGATTCTGCCTCAGTGGAGTCGGTGACCCCAATAGGAAGAGAGTAGGTGTGTATGGTGATACCCTCGGAGTTTCTGAATATCCCTCCTATACCTGCCAAGCCGGGATTTTCCTAGAGAAGAACCACCGAAGTTGTGTTTGATGGTGCCCCTCTCGGGAGGTCCATAGGGCCGAGAGTGGGACTCTTTTAGGTTTGTGAAAGAGAATGTTTACCCAGTTGACTATGAAGTCAACCGTCGGTATGTGTCTGAAGTGTCTGTTATTTGTGGCCCAGAAAATGACTAGGCTCCGGATAGAGTCCTTAATCTTGTGTAAGGGGGAAGCGACACCCTGGAATATCCTGTTGTTTTGCTCCTTCCAGATGGTCCAAAGAGCTGCGGCTACTGTGGCTTTCCATAGTAGAGCTCCCCACCTAGGCGGAGGAAGGAAGAGAGGGTGAAGAGGTTAGTGACACTCACTGGGGTTACCCATTCCCACCGAAACCAATGTAGAATGTATTCCCAGATAGACGCAGCCAAGGGGCATTGGATGAACAGGTGGTCGATGTTCTCCTCTGCTTGTAGACACATCACGCATCGGTTCGATAGGGAGCCCGAATTTGGTCGATCATGAGTATCCTACCCCACAGGATTAACCAGTTGAAGAACTGAATTCTTGGGGGGAGCATGGTATTCCAGGCTTTGGGAATGGAGTGGTGACATACCCCCGTAGGAGAAGACCCCTGAGGGTGAAGGTGACCAGAGGGTGCAGTCCTCCCCTCTGGGTAGGGAAGGAGATGTGGAGATCAGCGATGAAAGCTCCAAGAAGGCCTACACCTCGGAGTCGCAGAGAGGGCGATGGAGGTCAGGATTCCAGACCCTTGGAGAGGAGTCCGGTGGGAGATTGAGTTTTCCCTTCCTCTGCAGTTTACAATTTTGTGGAAACAGGTTGTATCTGGTCCCTGCTACTGAGCCATTTGACCCTAGAATGTTGGGCCCAAAAGATTTCTTTTTTCTTAAGGACAGACTGGAGGACTGCCTTGAGTTGGAGGCAAGACGCGGATTCGGAGGGGGTAAGAGGACGGGAGTCCTCGATGAGGTCAAGGTTCAGGATAGAATCATGTGAGGATTTAAGTTCAAAAAAAATTCCTGGCAGGCTGCTTCACTAAGATTTGAGGGAGGTTTTAAAAAGGGAGAGTTTCTTTTGTAATCTAAACCCTGCCTATTCGAAAGTACGATGAGCATAAGAAAGCCACCATTGAGACGGGGTTTCTTTGAAGTTTTCTTCTTCTGTCCAACATAGTTCAAACTAAAAAGGTTTTGGGCCACGGGATTGATAACAGTATCTAGAAGAATGGGTTTGTGGTCCGCAGGGCTTTGGAGATTGAGCCTGGGAAGGAACTCTCTCAGTCCTAGGAGCAGAGGAATCGATCCAATTTTGATCGAGTGGAGCCATTGGACCAGGTGTACAGGAATCCCTGGTGGAGGATATCTCTTAGCCAATGAAGGTTGATGAAGTCGGTGAACTGGTACATGGCTGGCGTGATTCTTGTGGAAGAACTACACTCATGGAACCACCTAGTGACATTGAAGTCCCCTTCGATGCACCACCATGAAGGTGATTGTGTCGCCGCTGCATCCAGCTCTTGCCACAAAGTAGATTAGTAATGGTTGGGCCCATAGACCGCTGAAAATTTCAACGGAAAGCCATCTGAAACACGGGTCAAGGATATGGTAACCGAGTGAGCGGCGAACCATACTTGGGTGAGGTTGGCATAGTTGGGGTCCCAAACCAACCAGATACCTCCCGAGGCACCCGTTGCCTGCAGGACGATCCATTGACATGGCCTATGCCACCAGACGTTCCTGACTTGGTGTAGCGAAGGTGCTGGGAGTTTGGTCTCAATAAGAACCAAGATATTTGGGGAGAGTTTAAGACAAAAGTCCTTGACCTGGTTTTTACGAGGGGAACCAAGACCCTTAATATTCCAAACCAAACTAGGATTTTCATTTGTTAGGGAAGGAGCGGGACCTCCTTTGGCTTGCGTCAGGAGGAAGAGGGATCTATTTGCAGGACAAAGACAGAGGGGCCAGGTTGGTCCTAGTTGATGCTACAAGGTAGATTAGCAAGCTCTTGAGATCCCTAGGCATTTACTTTGAATCTAGACTGGGGGCTGCATTTGAAGAACGCCTCGACATCCTCTTGCAAACCGTCAAACTTGAAGCCTAATGACCTCGTCTGCGTTTCCTTGCACCTTTTTCCAGGGTGGAGAAAAAGCTAAATGTGGCTGAAGGTGCTGATGTGGAGGAAGCAGTCGAGCGAAGGTGAGGTTCCGAGGGAAAGGAGGCCCATATGTGATTGTTGTCCAAGGGGGTCGAAGGCCGCAATCTGGGGCTCCAATTCGAGCTAGGGGGGGGAGGGGGAGTGAGGAAGCCCGAGGGGGTAAGGAGGAAGGCATGACCAGGGGGCCAGTATCGCGCAGGAGGGCACACGAACCAGGGGAGACGAAGAGGGAGCCGACCCTGCAGGTGGCACGGATGGGATATGGGCAAGGGGAGGAGGGTTGAAGAAGTTGGGGTGAAGGGGGATCGAAGGAAGGGGGCCGAACAGAGGGGAGCAAGGGAAAGAGACCGGGGGGGAGAAAGGCCACAGGGAGCAAAGGCAGCCAAGGGGAAAGGTGTGATGAGGTGGAAGACCAAAGTGGCCGAGGGGAAAGGAAAAGGAGAGGGATGAGAGGGAAAACCAGAGTAGGAGAGGAGGGGGGGGAGTTGGGGGGGCTGCGGGCCACTGGAGAATGGGAGCAGAATCTACGGCGAGATCAACCATGGCAAGAAAGGTGGCGGCGTGGCATAGTGGGTGGGGGAGGAGAGAGAGGAGGAAGCAGGGGAGGCGCCGGAAGAGGAGAAACAAGAGGAGGGGATAGGGGCGGTAGCGAGCCATGGATGATAGGGGGGAAGGGGAAAAGGCAGAGGGGGGCCCTTGGGGGAAAGGGAAGATGATGGGGGGCAGATGCTGGGATGGATGAGAGCGACGGGGGAGGGGAAACTAGAGAGGCGGCGGCCAAGGGACAGGGAAGGGGGTGGGGAGGAGGGAAGAGATGGGACGGCTGAAGAGGGAGGAGGGAAAGAATGCAGCAAGATGAGGGAAGGAGGGGGAAGGGTTGGAGTGAAGGAGGAAGAGAGACAGGGGAACAGGGCTCGAGATAGAGGCACTCGAGAGCAAGGGAACGGGAGAGGAAAGTAAAGGGGGGAGGGGAGAGGCGGAGGTGACAGCTGGACGGGGGGTTAGGGTCGCCAGGTTTAGAGACCACCTGGCAAATCGGAGCAGAGGGGGTGACGTCGGCAACCGCCAACTCTGTGAGGAGGGAAATAAATGGGTTGCAAGGGTGGGCTGCAAGTCGTATGATGGAGCCGGAAGAACAGTCCTTGACATGAGAGAATGAGATCGGCGGTGGTGGTGACGTGGGAGCCTCCGCTACGACTCCAACAAAAGGATCAGCGGCCGGAAACGGCATCAAATCCAGAGGGGCGACCTGCTGAAAGGGTGAGTCTGTCACAGGGTGACAGGTGGCCGAGGAGCGGGCAAGGCGATTGGACCTTTCGGGTTCCTGAGGGCATTGCGAGCTCAACGAGAGGGGGCGCTTGCGACGCCCAATGGGTTTGACCGAGCTTCCCTGAGGGATTGAGATGAGGCCCAACGATTCGCAGGTGCGGCGCGTACGAGGCTTGGAAGGCAAGACTATGCTACGCTGAGGGGTGTAGGCGAAGCGACAAGTGGCGAGCGGCTTAGAGTGAGGAGGAGGTGAGATGGAGGATCGACGGTGAGGTTTAAGGCAGGAACCGGTAGTCCACTCGTTGTTGGAGCCCTGGGGAGCCGACTGAGGTAAAACTGCAATTGCCTGGGGGGGGTGGTCGAGACAAGCTTAAGGTTGGAGGTAGGGGCTAGGGTCAAAGGTTGGGGTCGGCTGTTGTTGCGGTTGTGTTGAACCAAAAGCCACGACGATGACAAGGGCGACAAAGGTGAGGCCGAACAGCGAAGAGAGAGGAGGGAAGCAAGTTTCCAAGATAGCGAGAGTTGGAAGAGGTGTCTTGCGATGCAGACCCACAAAGATGAGGGGAGCCGAAGAGGTTTAAGGACGTCGATCAAAAGAACGATGGAGCTGAGGGGAAGGAACTCGCATGACTTCCAGTTTAGGGCAATGAACTTGCCGCATCTGGAGCCGATCGAGCAGAAATTGTCGGGGTGCCAAGCATGGAGAGAGATGTCATTAATGCGGAGCCAATAACGAGGGGGGGGGGCCAGAGTCAAGGGCGGGCGACCACGGTTGAAACGCCAATTTTGCTCCATGGAATAGGCAGTCCTGTCAGAAGAAGAGAAGGATAAAAGGATTCTGCCTTTGGAAATGGGTCTGCAAGAGAGGCCCGGATCCGACCAGCATCTTTGTCCCCATCGTTCAATGTCTCTGAGGTCATTTCTCCTGGGATGGAAAGAGCCAACTAAGGAAGAACCCGAGGTGGAGGGAAGAGTCAGCGGGGGGGATTTCACAAAGAGGCAAGAAGGCAGAGGTAAGGCCAAAGGGGGGGAGGGAGGGAGGAGGAGGAGGAGGAGGAGGGGAACGGGGAGGGGGAGCAACCGTTTTTCAACTTTTTTCTTTTTCTTTTTCATTCTTTCTTTCTTGATGAAAGACTACAAAACTTTAAAAAAATTAAAGGAAAAAACAAAAAAATCCAAAGAATCCTTCATTATAGCAACCGTTTTTCAACTTTTTTCTTTTTCTTTTTCATTCTTTCTTTCTTGATGGAAGACTACAGAAATTTAAAAAAATTAAAGGAAAAAACAAAAAAATCCAAAGAATCCTTCATTATATTCTAACTCATAGTTGTTGGAGACGGGATCGGGAGCGGGATCAGTTCGGGAATCACTGAACTGCCCTATTGCAGAAGTTCCCTGGCGTTGGGATCGACGTCTGTACAATGAACAAGAGAGGGAACGAGATCGTTACGTTTATGGAAGCGAGATCCCATATCAATAGATTCGAGGTTTTGACTGGCAAGAAACTAAGCTCCACATATTAACCGAGGTTTTCAATTAGAGCTAGTACGAGTTCCCTTGGTTAAGGGATCAAGGTTCCCATTTGTCATATAATGGGGTTCCTCTTGTTCTAATATCGAGATTCTTCAAGTATAGGAATCAAGGTCCTCAGTTGATTGGCCCCAAGGTCCGCAATTGCCATTTACAAGGGAGCCCTCTATTGGGCACTTTTCTATATAGTTTGTAGCCCACACTCCAAAGCCCAATATGTATGACATCCTCTAGTTAAACAAATCCATAGTGCCCGATTCCTATATATCACATGCTTACATGGTACTTGATAAATATTAAATACTTTTAGGCACTTTACTATATAGTCTGTGATCCATAGTCCAAAATCTAATATGTATGACATCCTATGTTAAATAAGAGCATTGAATCATATTTTTACTATGTAGTCTATAATCCACCCTCTAAAGTCCAATATGTATACTATCCTCTAGTTAAATAAATCTATAGTGGCCCATTTCTATACATCACATGCTTACATGCTACTAAATAAATGCTAAATACTACTGACCACTTTACTGTATATGTCCATAGTCCATGCTCCAAAATCCAATATGTACATGAGTGTATGACAACCTCTAATTAAATAAATCCATAGTGCCCTATTTTTAGGCATACATGCTACTTGATGAAATATCAAATACTTTTAGGCACATTACCATATAGTCTGTGGTCTATAGTCCAAAATGTAATATGTATGACATCCTATGTTTAAATGAGTGAATCGATCCATATTTTTATGCAACCATGCCTATATGCTTGATAAATCTAAAAAGTGTGGATTATTTTTCTACTTAGTCCATGGTCCTTAGTCCAAAATCTAATGTGTATGACATACCCTATTACATAGTCCCTCGGACCACCAAGATATTCCTTACATATAAATCCAAAAAATAATCTACAAGTACACAAATTGGATTTTTTCTATTATTTTAATGAACTACATACTTAGATCACCAACACGTAACCCCCCCCCCGCCCACCACCACCACCCACCACTTCCCCGCCCAATTCCCCTTTCCTCTACATTAACCCTTGGACCCAAAACCAGCCCACACAGCGCCTTCTTCATTAGCTTGCGGTGATTACTCTGGTGAATCTCGTCGCTCCTCCCAACTCTCCCATGCTAAAGGTATGTGCGTTTGTGCTCTTTCCCTGTGTATTTATGTTACTCTCGTGTGTGCATAAGAGAGAGAGAGTTTAGTGTGTGTGTGCGCATAAGAGAGAGAGAGAGAGAGAGTTGAGTGTGCACTTGGTGCTCTTTCCTAGTGTATTTCTGTGACTTTTGTATGTGCATAAGAGAGAGAGGGTTGAGTGTGCATGTGCAGTAGAGAGAGAGTTGAGCATGCGCTTGTGCTCTTTCCTTGTGTATTTATGTGACTCTTGAGTGCGTGTAAGCTGAGAGAGAGAGTTGTGTGTATGCATAAGAGAGAGAGAGATATGAGTGTGCGCTTGTTCTCTTTGCATATATATTTTTGTGACTCTTGTGTGCGCATGAGAGAGAGTTGAGTTTGTGTGTGCATAAGAGAGAGAGGGACAGAGTTGAGTGTGCGCTTGTGCTCTTTCCCTGTGTATTTTTGTGACTCTTGTGTGTGCATAAGAGAGAGTTGAGTGTGTATGTGTAGTAGAGAGAGAGAGGTGTATGTGTGTGTATAGTAGAGAGAGAGCCACGAACATGGAACCCAAGATTTTAATGTACCAAAACCTTGAACCATGGTAGATGGGAGCCAGGAACTATTTTCAAATGGAAATGGATTCATCTATTTTTGAAAGTAGATTCCACATATATGGAACCCAAGATTATAATATACCAAAACCTTGAACCATGGTTGATAGGAGCGGGGATCTATTTCAAAATAGTACTAGAATCCACTAATGGTTGCAACGTGATCCCCTTTATTTGGGAGCAGCGTTTGCAAAATTGAATCAGAATGGTTAACCGGACATGGGCCCATAAGTAGTTTAACCGGGCTAACCGGTAAACCGGCCGATTCAACCGCTCTAACCGAGCAAGTCTCGGGTGGTCAAAAAAGAGTTGAAATAAATCAAAAAGATAAAAAAAAAAAAAAAATCTACTAAAATATGAAAAGCATATAAAGAATGATTAAAACAAAACATATTCAAATAAAGTTGAAAATTAATGAAAAAAATGGATTTTAACAAATCGATTTGTGCTTAGAGGTATTTTTAAAACTTTCTGAAAAAGATGGGAAAATCTAAAAGTGAGTATTAATGACCAAAACAATTTTTAATCGTCCCCACAATGTAAAGAATATTAAAAAATGCATTACAAATCAAATTCCTTATTTTTGGAAATTTATAGATATATTTTTTAATCTTTTTTTTAAATATTGGTTGATCACCATAACCGCCCAAAATCGGAACCGGCCAGTGGTTGGTTTCGATCTAACCAAACAGTTAGCAGTTAGATCGCCCGGTTTTTCCAATAGTATTTGGGAGCGAGATCCAAAATTGAAAAACTAGGGTCCCTATGAGATCCTTAGGAGGAACCGTGGGATCAAGGTTCCGAAGCGGGAACGCCACTCTACCCACACAGTTCCCTTAACTATGTTCTAACTAGAATTTAGGAACAAAATGTTCAATTTCTATCAAATGGAAAAAACTTAAATTCATGAAAAGATGTGGCAAAAGTTTTATGCCGACTGCCAACCAAATGGAGAAAACATATGTGATACTTAATTTTGTAGTGTGCACTTCTTCTGGTGCCTAAAAATTTTGATTTGCTTGAGAAAGAAAGAAGATAATGAGCAAAAAAACGGAAAAAAATTTTAAGAGTAAATGAGTTGAGAGATGGCTTTGAAACTTTCTATGATTCAAACAGCCCTCACATATTAGATGTCCTGGTTGCCATTTTCAGCCTCAAAGTCAATCTTTTTATTTGACATTATTAGGTTTCACTTTCTTTAATTGCCAATACAAGTTAAATTTTATAACATATTCTTGGCAAAACTAAAACCAAGTGGAGAATTCAGTAGGAAAAAATTCATATTGCATGGTTGGGATCTCGATAATTCTTGGATTCATCCATTAGCTAATGCTGGAGTCTAAACTATTCATCATCGGATAAATCATTTTAGTTTCCCTTCACTTACAATAGTATGTTTTCCAATCTTTACATCATAGGAAGTTGAACCATTCATGTATGTTATGTTTGTGTCCAAAATAATTTTCCTTCATTTCAATATTACTTCAGCTTGATGTTCACAGCATGAATTATCTAATTTGTAAATTTTTTGGATGGTTTTTCATAATTTTTAGTTTGAAAATTGTAAATTCATACAAGAGTTCTTTGTAAATTCTAATTACGTGTTTGAAAATTCATCCCTACAGTTCTTAAAATCCTAGGTCCTACAGATACCTGTTCCATGAAATGAAATTACAAATTTTGGCCAACTAGTGATGGTTTCTCATTTTATCTTTCTAACTAACTATGTTGTGGGAAGAGGGTCGATCTATAATTCAAATATGGATCTCCTGGCACTATTTTGTACAAATTCTATCAAAATTCATGAAAAACTGAATGGCCTCAAGTTGGGCAGTCAATTGTTATTTCAGCTGCTGGGCGAAAAGATTTTGTACGTTCATTTAAGTTCTAGAATTTTTTATTGGAAAACTGTCTTAGTAGTTGAGAAAGCACACTATGATGTACTTGGACTAGGAAGAAACCATAGTCCATGGGATCATAACCTTCCTGTAGATTTCGATGTACTTGAAATGGCTATTTGAGATGGCTATTGTAAATGAATGTGTGAGAGCGCTTCGAATTTTTTCCATCATGCACATTAAAGCTCACAAAGACATTTTAGATGTCCCCTTCTCCACACATCGACCTTTATATTACATAGATTAGAGTTGGAAACATTATATTATCTCCACAAATATGAGATGATAATGATAAAAAAAAAAAAAAGACAAATGTGTCATGATAATGTAATCTACTTATTAGCTAATGAATCTAAATAGTAACTTTTGTCCACTAAGAAATAATCAAAAAGTCAGGCTATAAGACGTGCAATACAATCATACCCTAGTTCCTACAACTGAACTATCCAAAAATAAATAAATAAATAAAATTACCTTGGTTCCAACTTTATAAGTAGTTTTTCCACTGAAGGGGTGGTCCAATACCTTGCCTGTGTGATTGGGCAATGTCTTTATATCAGCTTCCATGTGCACCTAATTTATAGAATTCATAATTTCATATCCTTTGCAAGATAAGCATTGATGGAGTTACAGATATAGAGTAAAACCAAAGAATACATTCGCATAGCCACAAATAACATGGCAGTAAGGACGCCCAAGTAGTCATAGTTTCTGCATCCAGATCGATGAATTACATACCAAAACTCACAAGTTAAATAACTATTTGTAAACGCCAAACAATAGTTACATCATGGTAATGTGTTTAGAACTAAGAGCTTTTGAGTCCACCATAGACTAGAGGTGTTTGGTCGGTATTCAGAATAAAAAAATGAGGAGATAGGCAATTGGATTGCAAGTTTGGCTGGAATTTTCTTTTTTCATTTTCTTTTTCATTTTATTTTTTTTTTAAAAGCCAAGTACAACTGTAATTTCACAAACAAGAAGAAAGAGTAAGAGGCAAAAATGAATCCACATGTCAAGCATCTCAGAAAAAGATATTCTAAGTGATGAAAAGCGATACTAAAATACAAAACCAGTAAAAGTATTCACAGGACTGATTAGGATTTTCGTTTACAAGTTTACATACCTTCTAAACAAATAGAATGAATTCATGAAGCAGCCGAGGAAGAAAACGCAAACGGAGAATGAGACAGTCATCTTAGCTCAAGCCCATAAAAAGGAAGCTCTCTCCAGGTGGCCTACTTAGTTCATAAGTATACAAATAATTTCAAGTCCATACCTACAAAATGGGAAATTTATAAAAATACACCTAACAACTGTTTAGCATTTACCCATCTTCGACTATTCCAACTCATGATCATGTGTATTTTGATGGACTCTTTGAAATTAAATCAAAATAAATGGGTAAAATATTAAATCGTTCATCTCATAGGTGCATTTTCAAATTTCCCAATAACTATGCATCTACTGGTGACCTAGTTAGCATCCAGATATCTAATGCGACCTTCATCCCTACACCTTCCATGCTAAACATACCAGAAAATTTCCATAAATCTCCCAGGGGAACTAGCCCTTGCAAAAAGTAGATGTGAGAGGATGGAGCAGAGAACTCTATAACATCAGGTTGTGAGGTAAACCTCGTCTTTTCTGATCTACTGCTTGAGCTTGAGACAAAAACAAAAACTCGACAGCTGGCACAATGAGCTGGAGCTTGAGACTAGATCAGGGTTAAATTATACTCTGCTCTATAAAGTGCATAATCCTGTCAAACACTTTACTGTTTTATCAATTGCTCAAAAAATCAAATTTAAACTATTACCTAGTATATTGGGGTTGAGATAAGGAGCTCCATAAAACTAGGTTATGGAGTAGAATGCGGTACTAGACACCACTATTCACTTTAAATTGCATAATTTATCAGTGCATTACTAATATATTTGTTGCCCAAAAAATTCCAAGCTAAAGTATTTGTCAGTGTATTAACAAACTTGCATTGATAAATGATAATAGTTCGGATTTGGTCTTTTATAATTTATAAATGTTCAAATTCAAAAATGAAAGGTGCAATATGCATGTGGTGCAATATCCAGGGATGTGTAATCAGGAGCTAAGAAGCTGGGTAACTTGAGAGAGTAAATGTTCTCGTGAGGAAAGTGTCAGGAGAATAAGTGGAAAATTTTGCATACAGGCACTTGCATCATTTCAATTGTATCATTTCTCTATCAATGATTCATCAAGAAAGTTGTATGTCAAAACAACAAAAAAAAACAAAAAGAAAGAAAGAAAAGAGCCACAAACCACTGAAGTCTGGGGAACTTGTCACAAACTCTAATGCGAATCACTTACCCAGACATGCACTTAAGTCAGTTTAATAGGTGAATGTATCCAACAAAAAAAACAATATTAGTACATTAGAAGATTTAACCAAGTCTAATGACCATAATAAATCTCAGTTATTAATATGTTTTCTGTGACAAAACAAAACAATCTCAATCAAATATTTCAAAGAATGAAAAGAGCAATACCCGCTCTCTAATTGTAGCTAATAGGCCATCATTCCATTGTTCACCATCTATACACAACTCTGCAAATGATAATAATGTAATTCAATAATAGCTGGTAAACATGTTCAAAAACAAACATACGTAGCAAACAGGAGCATGTATCTTAAAGGCCTGCAATTCAACATAGAAAAGTAAAATAGAAAGCTCAAGTACACTTTAGTCATATGTGTTTTGCATGACAATGAGGCCAACCTCACCATCCACAAATAAAACAGAGGAGCTGAAAATGTCAATAATTGGACTTTAGTTTGAGCGCACAGATTTGGAAACATGCACCAAGCTCCAACAAAGAAAAGTGTAGCCAGACCAAATGACTATTGTATGGTGGATACTCAAAATATAATGTTTTTTTAAAGTGAACGCAAAATGTAATATTAAAGCATATGATGAAAAGCTGCATATGGTATGGGGTTTGCTATATCAATACTTATATGCGAAACATGGGCTCGGAGAATGGCCGTATCTCAGACTTTGTTCCTACATTCAAGTTTAGCAATCACTTTAAGGGCATTCCTTATTGTTGCAAACTGAACCAACAGAAAGTTGGGCAAGTTATCCTTTTTATGTTAAAATAAGACATATTCCTAAGTCATCTTATATTCCGGATTCATGAGAAGTTTTGGCAAAATTTTACGTTGGCTGCATACCTAACACAACCCACCCCTTTTACCCAGGCTTAGGACGGGTTAACGGAAAGTTTAAGGTCCTCACCCTTCTTAGATTCTATCACCCAACATATTTCTTGTCACTGATAGTTCCATAAATTGTCGTTCAAAATAATACAAAGGAAGCAAGTAGTCTTTTTGCTTTAATAATTGCAAATAAATCGAGTTTAGTCTAGCACTAGGAACAGGGGAAGAGAACAGAGGTAAATGGTACCCAAATGCCTCCTGCCTCTAGTCTGCTACTATAATTACCAACCTATGTACCAAAGAGTTTGCAACCCAGAGAAAATGACAATGCTCCATAATAGAAAAGTTTGAAAGTAAATTTTGCATTTCCAAAAAGATCCTTCAAACATAGAGGGACTAGTAAGTGGGCCCTCAAGTGTGCATTTCAAGTACCAACAAGTGTGCATTTGAGGCAGCCCAAATTGAGCCCTCTCTCCAAGACAGGCACTTCGAGATTCTATCACAACTGCAATGAATTAAGCCCAAAAAACTGATTGACCTAGGCCCCCAACAATGGTTTAAAGCTTCTGCAAAGTTGGTATATAGGCCCAATTGTATCATAAAACACTATAAAAGCTGGATACATAAAACCCAATAACTTCTTTCATGAGGTCTAACTATTTTCATACTCAATTGGCAGGAAGGCAAATATCAACAAAATACAAAACAACCTTCAACCTTCATACGAATCTGTGGTTACGCCAGGTAAATCATACCTTCAGTTTGAGCAGCCCGTGCAGCTTCAAATTCTTTGTGTAGACGCTCTGAGATCATCTTATCAGAATCCCTACAATATAAACATGACCACAAGAAAAAAAATGCATCAAAACACGCTTAATTCCAAGGTAAATATGAATATATTTCCGTTAGGAGTACTGGTTAGAATGATCACAAGGACCACCAAAAAAAAACAATTTAACAGAAATAACAGAAACATGATTCAATAGTCATTAAAAAATAAACAAATAAAATAAGGCACGGATTAAACAATTAGACAAAATCGAGCTTCCAGATATACCTCGTTAGCCGTTCCCTTAGCTGCTCGTGTCTTTTGATAACATTTGCCACTAAACAAGAAAAGAAAAAAGCTCAGATGACCAATTAAGTACCATATAATCCAAAACAAATAATATGGCAAACAAAGATTATCCAGAAAGTATTTTACATCTTGCTCTTGTAGTCCATAATCGCAAATCCTCCTCCTGTTTAAAACTCTGCACCAGAAAAAGAATATATATATATAGAGAGATATTATGATCGCAGTAATTGTATAAAAGCCTTTTTTTGTAATTTATCGTGCAATTCATGTCCAAACATTAACGAAGTCCTCTTAACATACCTAAACTCGTTTTATAACTACCAACATGTTCTCACTGAGGCACCTAATCCTACCTCAAGCAACACCAGAAATTGATGTTTGAATTTTGATAATAAACAGTAGCAACAGAATAGTAGATAAACTTAATTACTGAAAAACGAAATAGTAGGATGGGTTTAACAATCAAATGAGCCATTATGCCCAGAGAGAAGAATCTTTAGAAAAATTAAATATAACAAAAACATGAAAGGTAATACATAAAATTTATTATAATAGATAACTGACAAACTCAATTAAAATTAAAATAGAGATACCACTTCTCCAGTTAAAGTCCGTGCCCTTTTCTGCAAATGGTCCAATTGCTCCTGAATTACCCAAAAAAAAAAATTATAGAGTGAGGAAAATCACCATCATTTGAAATTTTGACCAAGTATTAACTACTATGACTAATAAATAATTTCTAAATACCCATTCTACATAATCCAGAATAATTTAAGCAAGTATGGATGGTTGACAATAATAACCATCGATGTCTTTTATATTCAATTATTTATCTAATAATTATTTGCATTCTCAGCTATAATCACGTACATTTTCATAAAATGATATCATTTGATAAAATTTCAATTATTTGTGCAATTCATGGTTACCGACACCACATAATCAACTAAAAATCACCATAAAAATGCACCAAAATAAACTGAATTTATCAAGTAAATCAAACTTATATTCAATTCTTTATCTTATGATTATTTATATCATCAGCTATAAATTCTAAATATTGATAATGGATCGAGTACATTTTTCATTAACTAATATCATTTAATAAAAGTTTGATTGTTCATGCAAAATGCTCTTGATTACGAAAACTAAATAATCGATTCAAATCACTATAAAAATGCATTAAACATAGAACAAATTTGCAATTAAATCAATCTGATTATCAACCATTTATCCACCGTATAAATGAAAACAAAAAAACTCGACCTAAATTCAGGGTATCACAAACCCACAGACGTTCACATTTATGAAAACCAACAAAAATAAACTATTTCGTGAAGTAATAGCATCGAATTGTGGGAAAAAAAATGAGCATAATGGAGTAAAAAATGTGTAAATAACCTCAATGATGTAAAAAAAACAGCACAAACGAAACCCTAGCTATGAATTATTCACTTGAACTGAGTAAAAAACGGAGTGAATGACGAGTAAAGAAAACCTTGAGAATAATGGAGTCATTATCGCCGGTTAATAGCTTCTTCATTTTCTTTCGCGCGTTTTCCTCTGCGTTTGCCTCCATTGAAAATGCTCTGGAATTTGGTTTGAGGAAGAGGCTAGGGATTTATAGATGCCGCTCTCGGTGATTAAAATAACTATATTACCCTTATACTTTATCGTAATTACAGAAAGGTTAGGTTTGAGTAAGGTGCCCAACTTATACTGTACAAATAAACGCATCTCTAAAATTTGTTAGAGGATGCGGTTCGATGGTCAAAAACTTTATGATATCTTGAAATTTTATATCTAATCTAAATTCAAAAATTTAAAAACTAAATAACATTGTAGGTTGAGTAGATCTATAAATACTTGAAAGTCTTGAAAATAAACGGTCCAGATAACCTGTTATAGGACTTTAAATTTTTGTTATAATAAATACTATTTTTAGAATCGATGAACATGATTTATGTAACTCATCCCAAATAATTGAAATAAATCTTAGATGTGATCTATATATTTCGAAATTGATATGATCAAGTGGAATGTTTTTTTCCAACTTTGAAACACTTTTGTATTGGATTTTTGGAGTACACCTTACTGATGTCATATATACAGTTGCAATCTCATATAAACCTTTTCCAATGTTAAATGGTATTAAGTCCTCTATCTTAAAGCTTGCAAAAGATCTAATAAATATTTTAGAGATGCTTAGAGAATGAAGAGGGATACATGAATTTTAATTTTATTTCTAGAACAATACAGAAGAGTAATTTAAATTTAAAAATTGGCTATTTATTATATTTTTAGGGTGATGTGAGACTTAAGGTAGGGGTACTTTGAGCAAGGATTGTTCGGGAATAACAAAAGGGTATTTTTGAACATAGGTTATTTTAAAAAACTATATTTTTATGTTGATTTAATTTCTAGAAATCCATTGAAATACATATGATAACTGGTTGGGACAATTGAAAATGGATAAAATGGTAAATAGTTTTTAAATTATGTATATTTTGGTAAATTTCCTGTTATTAGTTCATTTTACCAAGTGAAAATAAAGTTTGCAAAGTGTTTACGCATATAAATATTTTTCTTGAGGAAATATTTGCACACCAACAAAACGTGCCTTAGAGATTTGTCACTTAAAATACTTCATATTTGACAGACATCTATGCCATTCAATTATTACCTTCGTAAAGTTAGGAAATGATATAAAAAGAACAATATTTTTATGAGTCGACTCGTCTATTTATACAAAGGAAAAAGTTTATATAAGGATGCAACCTTATAACGTAGAACTACGGATGCCCTTGAAAAATCCATCAGAAAATATAGTTTTACTGTTGAAAACCCTTTAATTGATCAACTCGACATCGATATGTATGAATATGAAAAATAAAAAGATTTTAAGTATCATAAATAGTTCATTTTACAACATATTATATACACCGTCTATTTTCAATATTTTCATATGTTTATAGATCTACTTGATTGTAACCATTTTTTAAATTTACAATTTTATAATTAGATATAAAAGTAGATTTTGAGATAATCCTAAGAACATTTTACATTAAAATTATATACCATGACAAAATTTGAAGGTTCACCTTACCTCTACACCTACGGATGCATCTGTATGTCAACTACACCCTTATACAAATACTACCTTTAAAATTCACTTTAGAAATGAATTTTGGATCCAAATATTATAGGGACTGACAATCTCTACCATAGTGAAAAATGAATACAAAACATAATACGACCTTCATTTTCCTTTTCCTTCTTATCTTTATTTTTTTTGCTCTTTTCTCATGTACATATTTCATTCTCTCAATTAAATTATCGTTAACACACTAAAATAAAGGTGCTTTAGAGGACGTACATGTAGAATTACATCCCTCGGCGCATGCTACACTTGTCCATATACAAATCCATGTGATTATAATACTAAATGTGCCACTTTTCAAGGTTTGTACACATTTAGATTTCATCTAAATAGTCAATGTAAGTATGATAATAATAATGAAAATAACAAAAAATTAAAATTGATTGGCTAAAAACGAAAAGCAATCCACAAAAACAAGAAAGAAGAAAAAAAAAAAAATCAACAACAACGCAAAGATATACGTGGTTCGGCGAAGTGCTTACGTCCGAGGGAGATTAGAGCTTATTTACTGGAAATTGAAAATAGAGTTACAATTCGCTTTCTTCCTCACGTCTCTCTGTTTTTATCTAATTACAAAGAGATCTACGTTTTTCCCATAACCCGTAACTTTTGATGAACCCCAAATCGCAAT